CCCCACCTCAACCTCCAACCCCCATCCCCCATTCACCCTTTCCCACTCCCCTCCTCCTCTCCTCAAAAATTTGCCTCCAACAAAATTTGATTTGCATTAAATTTTTGAAATTTTTGAAAATTTTGAAAATCCACGATGTTTTTTATTCGTAATTTTTTTTTTCGTTTTTGATGTATACACAATTGAAACAGAAGATGGACGTGAAGCACCTTAGCTTTGTATCAATACAATGCAGACGACCTTTTTATTTAAATTTTGATTTCTAACAAAGTTCTTTCTAAATTAAAAGAGATTCTGTTGATCGACAGTTTCTCTTTGTTTTGTTCATATTTTTTTTTGCATCACTGCTGTTTAAATAGCTTGGTAGAAACCATCACTGCTGTTTAAATAGCTTGATAGAAACCATAACTGCTGTTTAAATAGCTTGGTAGAAACCATCACTACTGTTTAAATAGCTTGGTAGAAACCATCAATGCTGTTTAAATAGCTTGGTAGAAACCATCAATGCTGTTTAAATAGCTTGGTAGAAACAATCACTGCTGTTTAAATAGCTTGGTAGAAACCATCACTGCTGTTTAAATAGCTTGGTAGAAACCTTCACTGCTGTTTAAATAGCTTGGTAGAAACAATCACTGCTGTTTTAATAGCTTGGTAAAAACCATCAGTGCAGTTTAAATAGCTTGGTAGAAACCATCACTGCTGTTTAAATAGATTGGTTGAAATGGAAAGTCGTCTTGTATCGATATATATACGACGACTGTATCAAATTGAAACAGTCGCCGATAATTCGAAGAAAACAAAAGTATTTTCAATGGTATCGGGGGATAAACGTGTCTCTTGGATCATCAGAAGACAAATATCTTTATATTTAGAGCTCTAAGTCCTGCTATGCTGGAGGATATTAAGAGTCTGGAATATATAAACCTAATGACCCATCCTACAGATCTAATCATCTGTGATGTCCAGGTGATTTATTTTTAGTTTTTAATCAATTCTAAACCAGCTAAAAAACGATGTCGAACTGTAATATAACATAAATATGTTTAGTAAAATCACGGGACCTCGTGTTTTTTTTATTTCTGTCACTTAAACCGAGAGATACTTCTAATTATTTCAATTAAAAAAAATTTAAAAAGATATTCTTCACAATTTAGTTTCTTTAACCTTTTAAATGAACTGTAAGTGTTATTTCAAGTGACCCGTCAATACAAAGATGTCCGATTGTACAATATCGAGGCCAGACAACTCTGTGAGTTTATCTCTCAAATAGTGTTCGAATTGCCGTAAACTGGGAGTGAACTCTGGCGCACAGTGTGAACTCACACAGCTGACTTTACATGCTTATTGTATACCTAAAAAATAACGAATATTGTATGTCCTAATCAATTTTCTAAAATTCGAGTGCAAATAATTATTTTCTGCAATTTCTAGAAAGCAATTATTGATATTTCTTATAAACGAAAGAGCTCGCAAATTATTTCTTGAAAAATTACAAGCATGTCTGTCACTGTAGATTTATAAGGACATGCTTGATTAGTTGAAGGTTTAAAGGGAACTGTTGTGAATCAGACACGCCACTCTACTAACGGAGGGTCACTTGAAATATCGCCTACAGTCTCTTTAATCTATATCAGGTGGTGAATTTCTACAAGTGGAGTTTAGAGAGAGGAAATCTAACTTACATTGAAGGATGGAAGGGAGGGAAAGGATATACCTGTGATGATATATCAAATAACAGGTTTACAAATCAAACAACTAGAATTTTAAAATAAATACCCTTTTTTGTGCTTGTTTGGTTTGGTTGCTCGTTTAAAATGAAAATGGCTGAAAGATTTTTTTTTGGTACCTCACAGTTACTTGACCTCCTTGACCCCAAGGTTAGAATTTCTTTTTTCATTGTGGAAATCCTTCATTGAAAACTGGAAAATCTGCGAAAGGAATTGAGTCTTTGCCAAAAACGCAGATTTTTTATTCCTTATATTTTTCCAACCCAATGTTTGTAAACCTTCGATACTATTGCTGTTAGATCAAAAAATCAAAGTTTGAAATATCAAAGGTTTACTCCATCCATTTACAAAGATATGGGGATTAGAAAACTTGAGTTTGTGGCTCAATTTCGTAGTTAATGCTTATTCCAAAAAAATGTAGAAATATCTGGAGATTGACTGCACTTAGAACTTTGGTTCATAAATACCGCACCGACTTAAAGGTAGCTATATAGCATATGGGTCCAGGCTGTAGAATGTAGAGTGTAGACGTATGTACGGAAAACAAATTAAATTATCATAAAGCAGACTATCATCGGACACTGAGGGACAAAGAGCCTCTAAATTATAAAAAATATAAATTTAATAATATTTTTTTTCATTTCTAGAGTGAAAAGTTTTGAAGAATTCGCGTTGAACTACGTTGAACCTAAACAGCCAGTAGATCACACGCTAGAAGGTAAATAAAATATAAAATATTAAAGGGTAGTTCACTTATTTGGGTACCTAGAGGGTAAACTAAATAACCTATTAGCTATTCATTTGTATTAGTCTTCCTTTTCTAAGACAACTTGGCCTGAGAAAAAGCCGATTTATCATTCAGAATTCCAGCGCAAAGGTATGATACCTTCGCATAGACATTATTTGATGCCTTTTTCCATAGGCATAGATTAAAAAAATTTCAAATATTAAATAAAATTGTAGTTTTTAATACTTAATTGTAGATATCATTATTTTATTTTTTAATCATTTTAAAATTGCCTTTTTTCAAAATAAAACTTATTTTGAACATTTGACAGTTTGAGACGTTTCTCTTCTTTTCCAGAAATCCCGTGATTTATTGAAGAGTTGGGATCTAGGAACTAGTTTGTCTGAGAGAGAAAGTCGTCTTTGTATAAACATGTTTAATTTGTTAAATCATGCTTGAACACGAAAAACATGAACTTCTTGCTAATTCAGAAACAAAAAGTTTTTTTGTTTTATAATGGCTGACACATGATGTCATTGAAATATGATAATTTTAGATTTTATTGGGCGTTACTGAAACAATGAATAGCTAGTAGGCTAATTAGTTTACCATGAAATTACCCAAATAAGTGAACGGTCCCTTTAAGGATTTAAGGATTTTTAAGATATCTTTAACATCATGGATAAAAGCATTCTTTAAGAACTCTTACAGATATATAAGAATCATGCTTTGGAGTTTTCCTGTATTTGTTTACATTCTGTAATATTTTATTGGAAGAATCAGAAAACTTTAAAATATTTGTTGTGTTTATTTAATTTTGTGTGAAAACAGTGACGGAGCTAAAATGAATAGTCTTTGTTTTAACGTAGGTAGGTAGGCTGGAGTATGTTTATCTAGGTATACTGGCTGGAGTATGTTTGTCTAGGTATACTGGCTGGAGTATGTTTATCTAGGTATACTGACTGGAGTATGTTTATCTAGGTATACTGGCTGGAGTATGTTTATCTAGGTATACT